CCGCGGAGCGCCTGCAGCAAACATCAATAGATCTACCGCTCTGACTCGCACTATGATAACTACTTTAGGTGTTGGCGTTATTTGCATTACTCTTGGCATTGTGGTGCTCAGAAGAAGACTCGGAGCAGTGCCCGAACATTGCACTTCTTGCTGCTGGCACGGTCAGTCTTGCCGTTGTTCTTCTCATGGGTACTGGAATTGTCATGTTGTGGATCATGCAGCTGCAGAACTCTCTGCTGCTTGGCACTCCGTCGAGACATCAAGGCTTGCTCTTTTGTTCTGTCCTCAACGTTGGAATGCCAAGTAGACTTAGTCGCATAACAGCAGCAAAGTACTTCACCCTATCGCCCTGCACCACTGCACCTCCACATCTCCTGCACGAGCTGCGACAATGGCGGGGTCCTCCGCCTTGGTGAGGCGAGCCCGAACTCGTGCTCGAAGTACAAAGCTGACTTGCACAGCGATGTCCCCAACAAATCACATGATGCGTAAGCCTCCCAAAATCCGAGCCTTGCCAGCGCTCCGGCGACCGGGATGCGTCTGCGAAACAAGAGCAGCCGACAGCTATCACAATAAGACGTCAAAGGAAGTGTTAGTTCATGATCAACGCTAGAACTACCCACTGAGCTCATATTGAACTGTTACTGTAATGAACGAATGTAAGTTATCTCGGAGAATGGAACGAAATTGCATGAACATGATCCTCGATTTGACAGCGACGACCCTTGTCAGATCGAATCAGCTAAAACACGTAGCCCGCAGTAAGAGGCAGCAAGCGGTGGCTCATGGCCGGAGTGTAAGACCTTGTGCTGCACAGTAGCAATTCATCGAACTACTGTGCTGAACCACTATCCCTGAAGCGGGAACTGCGACGCAAACCAGCCGAGGTGGTGGCATTGCCTTTTGTGCTGCAACTTTCGGGCTGCCTCGCGAGGGTGAATGCTTCTTAAGGGCCTGAGCAAAAACAGTCAGAGGGATCCCAATTGCAGTTTGATAGAAACCCCCTCCACTTTATCGGGGCTTTGGCCCCAAAGGTTCGATTCTCAAGCAAAAACTCTCTGTTGTGCGTCGACAACAGGCTGAACACGGTGACTGTCGGTTGCACCTGTCATGGCAGTACGATTGTGGGCATCGTTGCTGTTGGTATTGCGATTGTATTATTCATACTCTTCATGCAATGCTTATTCGTATTCGTGTCCCGGCGTCGCAGTCTTGGTGGTTGTAGTAGTCCCAACGGCATAACAGCAGCAGCCGTAGTAGTAGTAGTAGTAGTAGTAGTAGTAGTAGTAGTAGTAGTAGTAGTTCTTGTTGTAGCAGTAGGTAGTAGGTAGTAGCAGCAGTAGCAGTAGCAGTAGCAGTAGCAGTAGCAGTTGCAGTAGGAGTAGTAGGAGTAGTAGGAGTAGTAGGAGTAGTAGGAGTAGTAGGAGTAGTAGTAGTAGTAGTAGTAGTAGTAGGTAGTGGTACGCCGGTGCCCCTTGCCGGACCCACCTTCTGTGCATGTTTGAGGAAGGTGATCATGAGGGGGATGCTGATGGTGACATTGGTGATGATGATGGATGAGTTCAGACAAGTTTGGGATCGGGTTGGCCAGGGGGTTGGGGGGGGCGATGATGACGACATTGTTACGCAGACACCCCAGACAACTTCCTGAAGAGCCGTTTCACTCGGTATTTGCAGTACTTTCGTGATGTCGGACCATCTATATAATATAGTAACCAGACATATTTCTGAACTTTGCGAACTCGACCTTCGGATTTCGGAGGGCTTTCTGCGAACACTCGAATTTGGATGGGGGAAGCTTGTTTCGGGGATGATGACGACACTGTGTCGCGGACACCACGAACAGTATCTCCACACCCTAGCGCATGCATACCACACACTACTTCAAGAGCATACCCACGTACAGCTGACATTTTGTCTTGTATGTTCATAAGATGTCGCACTTCAGATTCAGGTTCTAGGAGTGTTAACACCTTATTGGCAGCACCTGCGTTCTGCACAGTATTTACAGCGTTTTCGTTCTATCCGACCACCTGTGGACCTGTGGTTTAGCAGTTTCTTCGCCGGCGAGTTTTGAGAAAAGTGGGGTCCCTGCGTGCTCACAAACAACAGTTCAAGCCCCAACAACACACTTTCCGAGCACACTTCCACACTTTCATCAAACGAGAATGCGGTTGCGGCCTGGTCCAAAACCATATTTTTAACCTCAAAACCACACTTTCGGGGACCGGAGCTGGTCCCCGGAAAAAGCCTTCAGCACCACCATAGTGGCCTGGCCAGCATTTTCCACACTTGCAACAAGCAGCATGCATTCCTCTTGCTGTTAAAGGGTGGGTCCCCTGTGGGGCCCGCGCCTAGTGGTAGCAGTGGTAGTAGAAGTAGTCGTCGTCGTGATAGAGTAGTAGTAGTAGTAGTAGTAGCAGTAGTAGTAGCAGCAGTAGTAGTAGTAGTCGTGGTAGTCGTAGTCGTAGTCGTAGTTGCAGTCGTCGTCGTCATTGTACTACGGGTAGTGGTAGTGGTAATGGTAGTAGTAGTAGTAGTAGTAGTAGTAGTAGTAGTAGTAGTAGTCTCAGTAGTCGTAGTCGTCGTAGTGGCAGTGGCAGTGGTGGCAACACCAGCAGCAGTGAATCCAGGCGAAGTAGTGCTTGTAAGGCTGACTACAACTCGGGAGCAGAACCGCACCTTGCCTTTCCTTGCTGGGAAACTGGAGCCCCAGAACTTCTTACATAAACCTCAGGATAGACCAACCCTAAACCGAAAGACTTCAACATCAAGCACCAAGCTTCCTGAGGACTCCATTGACGGGAGCAGGGGCTGATTGGTGTGCAGCCATGGAGGCGACAAAGGCAGTCAGTTGGTTGGGGTATATGAATGGCACAATGAGAACGGTATTGTTCTAATCAAGGCCTGTTTCTCCTCCCGGTCAACTTGCTCGCTTGTGGCCACTTGTGTTGCCCTTCTAACTCTGATAACATTAATGAAGATCTCGCGGCAGTCGTTCGTTGCTCGGGGGTATGACCATGAACACCCGTGTTTGCCTGGGCAATGCTGGGACGGTGTTCGAGAAGGAATTCGCAGCTTGAGAGTAATCGGAAACAGTAGGAAGAACGCATATAGGACTACTTTGATAAGAACGTAAGCTAAATTCGGTGTTGTTCAGGAAACGGTCCAGCTGCGTGGGAAGTCGGAAGTGTCAGGCACGAATAGACCTCGTCATCCCGGCTGACAGTTATCTCAGAACACCTCCCGTATTTACACTCTACCCATATTGTCGCATTGTGTCGCTGGAAGGCACCGTCATCACCGCAGGATTTGCACAACTTGACACACAATCCGGGACATCCCTTCCGACTTCCACTTCGTACACCAGAGCACACAAGAGTGCACCTGGATCCCAACAACCCTCGGTTCTCTGTCTTGAGGAATGCCTTTAGCACGGAAGTGCAACATTTGTCCACCGCTCTTCGGCGAGCATCTTCCCTCCCCTCCTGCATTGCTTTCTGCAAGAGAGGCGGCGCAGAGGTGAGCAGGAAATTTCCTGTTTATGACGCAGATGCTGATAACCGCAACATAACTCATAGTAGCATTATGTGCGAACGGAGGAACCACCGTTTTGATAGGAATCTCAATTCGCCTTCTCACCATCGAGGCCATCTGTACAATTCTTCTTCTCGATGGACTCCAACAGCGAAAGCACAGCTAGGCCAGGCTCCGTTAGCTTTGGAGTTTCTTGCCTGGGCTCTGGCAATGCCGTACAAAGGTGTCTGTGCAACGAACCCGATCCGACGCACATGCAAGCCCCTGAACGTCTCTCGAAGATGCCCAAATGGCCAGCCATGAGCCATCGTATGGATGCTGTTCTGAATGAAAGTACCCTCTCGGTCATAAACGGAAACTCCAGGTGAGCTGCGTACTTGCAGCACTGCGTGCTTTCTCGTGCCAGTGCTAAGGTTACTGTATGATGCGCTGTGCCCGCACTTGGGTGCGTCTGTGAAGGCAACGACTGACAGGGCTTATGCAGCTGAAGATAGTTGAGGTATGCAGGTCAAAATAAGCATCCGACTGGCTCCACGATACCATTCTTTGGAAGCGCAAAAATAAATCTGAAATCCCGCGCAAACACAGAGGGTCACTTTGTAGTTGATCAAGTATACACTTCTCCCCTCGCTTTATGTATGTACGTACGTATATATATATATATATGTATATATATATATATATATATATTATACACACACACACACAAAACGGGGGTCCCTTGGCGGTTTTGGGTGGTTTATGGCATGCAACCAGAAGCCGAAATACGCACAGGAGGAAAACAACCAAAAGAACCAAACATACCAAAACAAATAACAAATTGAACAAACAATCAAAAACATAACCAAAAACAACAGAGTTTATAGTCACAAAATCAGAGGTTTGCGTTTGCCATGTATGCATGTACGTATTCATCATACACGCACGCCAAGCAACGCTGTCCCTACTGCTCCCACCTGCATGTAGGGTCTGAACGACCGCGTCACATCTGCAGATTTAGGGCGTGTGCTTGCTGCAATCCATCAGCTAAGAGACAGAGCCGCTTGCTATTGACAGGCATGCCGCAATTGCAGGCACTGTAGCTGCAAGCCTCCAACCGTGAACACCCGATCGCGTGAGGCTTCGATCTCCAGGCCGCGAGATACAAACATGCATGTGCCGTGTTGGCAGCAAGCTTCCGCCGTGTCTGCGAAGTGCGTGGGAGCTTCTTGCACCCGCAAACCCCGGAAATGAATCCGTCCTAGAACTCTGGGTTTGGAATATATGAAAGACTAGGTTGCTGCTGTTACTACTTCCACTACTACCACCACTACTACTACTACTACTACCACCACCACTACCACTACTACTACCACTAATACCACTACTACTACTACTACCACCACCACTACCACTACTACTACTGCTGCTACTACTACTACTACTACTACTGCTGCTACTGCTACTACTACTACTGCTGCTACTGCTGCTACTGCTGCTGCTGATGCTGCTGCTACTACTACTACTAGTACTACTACTACTACTACTACTACTACTACTACTACTACTACTACTACTACTACTACTACTACTACTACCACTACCAGACCACCACCACTACCACTACTACGACTACCACGACGACGACTACTACTTACTTACCTACTTACTTGCTTACTTGCTTACTTACTACCTTACTACCTTACTACCTTACTACCTTACTACACTACTACTACTACTACTACTACTACTACTACTACTACTACTATAATAATAATAATAGTACTACACCTACCTACCTACCCACCTACCCACCCACCGACCTACCCCCTTACCCACCCACCCAGCCACCGACCGACCGACGTTACCTACCTACCACGACGAACTACTTGGCTTGAGGATGCGATACCAAATCCTGCAGACCCTACTACTGTAGCTTCTGGGAATTCTTCGCAGAACTTGTCCCCGACAAAGCGGAATGAACATGTCAAAGTTCGAAGCCATAACAATTCACAAAGACAGAATGCAATCCCAGGGCTTGGACTTCGCAGATATTGGCATGCTACTGCGTGCGCTGATGCGCCGGCATTAACAACAAAAAACTTACGATGCATGTCTCAAGCTCGGGACCAAACAGTCGCTTGCAGGTAGTGAGCTGTGCATTGAGACTCTTCGAAACCTCGAAGCTTCGTGGCTCAGCAATCACTTATTTCTCTTTGTTGCAATTGCAGGCCAAGAAGTCTTGAGACACGCTGCTTTGCCCTGTGTATATCTTTTCGCAACTTTCGATGTCCTTGCTGCGGCTCGGGGTCAAAAGCACCCGATCTCTGCTTACACGACGTTTCTGTCACCCCAACCCAGTACCTCACGAACAATGTGGCGAGATTGAAAGAGGCAATCCTCAAGCCAGCAAGGAGGTAGCAGCCCGTGTCAAAAGCCCCGATTCCTCATGACTCATGACCCCTCGAGTGAGAACCCTAAGCTACGTGTGTTTTTTGCAGACCTAAACGCTCAAAACGACTTGCCACAGTCTCTGCTCCCTCCTCGCCGCCTCGCCGGACCTCTCAGTCCGGAATGCTCTGCTTGGCGATCCTGGGAGCGGATTTCACGTAGCGATCCACTTCTGCCGGAGATGGCATGCAGGTTTGCGTGTGCGTCTAGGGGGTGGTGTTTGGCCTCAAGGTTCGTCTTGGAGGCCGGGTTTGGCTTAGAGGTGCGTCTTGCGCCCTGCCTGCATGGACATCTTGGGGGTGGTGTTTTGCTTAGAAGGACGTCTTGGAAGGCCTGCAAGGCCGGGTTTGGCATAGAGGTGCATCTTGGGGGGCGAGGTTGGCTGAGAGGTGCGAGAATCGCTGTCGCAAAGACTGGCGCGTCCGACTCATGTTTGCCCCCCCACTTTGTTTGCGAGATTCAGAGGAACGATCGAGAGCAAAACGCGTTTTATGTCCCATTGTTTGCAAGAACCATGCATGCCTGGGACCCGTGGCACGCAGAATCCTCTGTAAATTGTCTGTAAATAACAGGACGTCAGCAAAAACTATGTAGTTAGAAGCACTTGGATGTCTTCCAAGCGCATGCTGCAAAGCTTCATAAAACACGCTTTCCAACTGCTTGAACCCACATAACCTGCCGTCACAAGATTGCACAGTTTCGCAATCGGAGGTACATATCCCACATAGTACAACAAGTCGACGTTCTCAAGCCTGACCCTTCCCGAACCCGAAGCTCACCGCAGCCTACGACCGACAACCACGCGCTAAGTGTAAGAGAACCCTGCGAGGCCTCAAGTACCCAAGCGCATAACTACCCAAAGTCCTTCAATCCTTGTTGCCGCATTGAAATCTCAAACTCCCCCGCGGACCCGCAGCAAACCCAGCCATCAAACTCAATCAACTGCCGCAAAACCTAGAGGGCTCTTGGAAACAACTTTGGGTGACTGCTTCGGGTCGAAGAAAACAGAAGCAACACGCCTGCAAGCCCCAGCCGCTGAGCCTTAACCCCATGGTAGCTAGTGCATGCTTACAACTTAAAATTACTTACACCGAATTCTCCCATGGCCCCCTGGAGTTGCGACCTCGTGGAGATATTTGGCGGCCCCGCCAGTGCCGGCAGGGCTTCTGGGTGCAAGGCAAAAGGCCGTGGCAGAGACAACGGCTCCTCCACTGGCGGCAGCTTCCCACGGTTAAATGTTGATCACCATCACCATCATCATCATCATCATCATCCCCGTCATCATCACCATCATCTCACTCGCACTCGTAGTGAAAGAGAAATGTTTCAAGACCGCGCTCTTGATGTTCATGCAATGCCGCTGGAATCCACTTGTCCATGGGAGAGACATTGGCATGGGGGCAGAGGGTGGGTGGGTGGGGTCGGGTTTGCTCAGTTTCAGGGACATTCGACGCAGAGGTGAGTAGTTCACAGAAACTCCCAAACTGGTCGATGTCAACTGCTATCGAGGTGGGGCAAGGTCGGGCTTCCGGAGTCTGCCTGAAGCTGATCTTCGATGCTTCCGTGGACCTCCTCATTGTCCCGGCTGCCTCGCGTGCTGTTTCAGGTCGCACAGTGTGGCAGCTGTGAGGCAAGGCTTCGAACTGAAGGTGTAGAGTGGGGTGTGAGAGCGACCTCGCACTCCTCGCATAGCTTGAGGCTTACAACGACTTGCCAGGATGCCATTGACAGGAGCCCGGAGGCAATCGCAGTGCCACCAGCGCCAGTAACAGGTTGAATGACATCATATCACCTGGTGAGTCGCGGAATATTCAAACCACGGATGGCCTTCGGTCGCCCATTGGCGCAAGTGCCTCTGCTGCTGGACTAGGAAGTTCTACTTTGCAACCACGTGTGGCAAAACAATGCTTCGATAGCTAGCCCTCAGCATTTAGCTCAAAGAGCGACAACAACAACGACAAAGACAACGACAACAACAATTATAGGACCGCATAACCCCACATGAGTGTGCCCTCTTTATGCTAGTCAAATTAAGCTGGTGGTGGCGGTGATGGTGTATATACGTGTGTGTGTGTGCGCGCGTGTATCTGTGTGTGCGCATTCGCATGTGCACACGCCCACGAACACTGCACGCCACTGCGATCAACGCATTTGGGAAATTTGTGCTAGTCGAGTCCAGGGGGAGGAGACAGGTGGAAAGATTACTACCAGACTACCACTGTGTCGTGTGGGTTGTGTGGGTTGTGTGTGTGTGTGTGTGCGTTGTGTGTTGTACGAAGCAGCAGCTTTTTGCAGCCTTCTACGGCAAGAGAAGGGAGTGTGCATGTGTGTGCGAAACTCGTGGCATGGCCGAAATATTCGCGCATACTTCAGCTCAAGGTGTCATCGGCCACGGACATGCAAATAGGAAGATCCGGGTCTTACGCAACCTGTTTAGGATTTGGTGCAGCCGCGATCGCATGAGGGCAGAACTGACGACTTGGGGTAATTAGAGTTGCATAAAGGATTTGTGTGTTGCTCAAGCTTCGGCAGCATTAGAAAGTCTCCAACTTCAAATTATAACAAAGGCAACAATTCCCTGGACACGTAACTGGATGATAACCATGGCGATGATGATGTGGAGGTCGAAGAGGATGATGAAGATGATGGCAGGAACAAGACGACACCCGGCGAAGTGTACACTTTCACTTCACATCGGTCTCGTTCTTTTGTGACTGATGTTCATGTGTGTAAGCAGCGGTAATGATGGGGTATCGGTAGTGGTGTTGGTGTGGCTGTGACGTCACCGGCGGCACACATAACAGCAATCATGCTAGTCAAAGCGACCCGCGGCAGGGCTGTGGCGGCAAAGCGTCGAGGAGGGCCAAAGGCTGCCACTTGAAGCCCCTCACAGGAAAAGGATGCAGAGTTACTTCGACTAGGTTCCACCGACGCAACCATCAATACCTTCGTGCTGGATTACTTGTTAGTGCACAAACATGCGGAATAGTTGTCAGACTGAGATATCTTAATAGATGTCAGATTGAGATATCTTCAGGTGTATGGGGCACGAAACCAGCAATAAGTAACTATTGCCCCTCCCTTTTAGAATGGAGCCCATACACGCATACAAGCACAAAGATGCACTTTAGCCTCAGTGTTCGGCCACACAAGTAAACATGTGTATGTTCAGGGGCTGCCGTGAATAGCGGCATATACTGAGCATGTATGGCATGTCTGCATGCTTTGATACCTGTGGCAGCATGAGCATAAAGGCAAAGACACACACACACACACACAACAACAGGCCCCGACGCGAACAGGCACACACACACAGACACGCAGACACAGAGACACACACACACACACACAGACAGAGCCACAGAGCCACAGAATGCCACATCCCAGGACGTCTCCCGAGAATATCAGCACGTGCAAAGGCCCTCTTCGTTAGGCTGGCGACCAATGCACATGTCCAGTCCTCCTGCAGTCGGCGAAATATGCAATATCCAGAAAGCTTAGAATCAAGGCTTTCACACACTTAGACATCCATCGCGCAGCCACTAATCAATCTGGTTATCAAGCACAGCTTGATGTATCTCGAAAGCATGAAGCTTCCAAGGGGTCCGGTACCTATCTGGCCTCAAGGCTCATCTTCGCTTGATCTCTGACTTATTCACTGTACAAGGCAAACTCCTCCAAACCTGCACATTCGATTCTATTGGGGTTTTAGGCTTAGCCCCGAGCCATATCACTTGCAACGACACTTGCAGGTACACCAAGCTGATCAGGCTTGGCTTCCCTCTCTGATGCATAGCTTCGTTGGGTACGGTAGCATCAGAGAGCCGTACCCCCCTGCTATTTTCAGCAATTCAGCACTACTGTCCAACGTGTTTCAAAAAACGGTTCCTCTTGGTAACAGAGGTCCACACACACAGTAAGCCACTAAGGCGAAGCGACCTAGGGTCTGGACTCCAAACGAGGACGGTTTTCGTCCGAATATGGCTCAGCCCAGTGAAAGGTCAATGGTACTGTATTGTTGACAGTACTAAGTTTGACATAGTACGGTAAATGAGCCCCGCTTTGCGTAAGTTTAAATGTACGCTTGGGGATGCGATTCCACTCCAAACTGATCGCCTCTTTAAGGTCGTCGATAATGCCTTCGGCCGGAATGTCGAAACATGCAACCGTGGCACCATGATGGCGGCCACCAGAAGGCAGATTTTCAATCCAGAAACCTCGGGTCATCCGCAGCGGAGGCAGATGTTTCGGTGTCCGAGGGAGAATAAGTGGATCATCATCTTTACCGCCATCAGGTGGAAGCGACGCTTGTGCTGCATCTCGTTTCATGGCAGATAAAGCTACACGTACACTGGGTCGCTGTTGCGTGGGAGCAGGAAAACTGTACAGGCGAGTGCTCTCACTGTATGCAGGACAGATAAATGTGAGTCAGGTCACAAGGTCATGCCAAGAATCTCTGGTAGTTTTTCCAGCAAGTGACATGTAATCCTGTACACGTCCGGTGTCCAAATCAAAATAAGAATCAAACGTTTCGGTTGGGACACTGTGCAACATACCAAAAATGGCAAGCACAACGGAGGTTAGCTCTGACCAGCATTTTTGCACAAGCCTTTGACCGTGCTGCAGGATTTCGGTGAAACTGCATCGGATCCCCAAGCGTGATATCACTCGCTCCAGAGGGAACAGGCGAACGCTCACGTTTGTCCTTCTTAGACTTCAAGGACTTCTGAGACTTATTTGGTGACCGGTCCTTTTTCAGCCTTTTGGACTTCTTGGACTTCTTGGTCTTCTTGCACTTGTTGGAGGACTTCTTAACCCAAGACGCCACCTCTGTGGGTGCCGAGTCTTTGGGAGGATCGAAAGCCGAAGACCAGGAGCTAGCATCATCAGGAAGTTCATCATATGGTACCCCGTTGTCTTGACGGGAAGCCATGCCGGTGTGTCGAGAAATCAAGACGGAAACGGCTGGCGGCACCACATGAGTAAAAAAGGGAAAAAACGCCTTCGGCTCCACGAGAGACAGAGAGAGAGAGGGGAGAGAGAAAGGGCGAAAGAGACATAAAACTGAGCGTAACGCTCCTACGCGCTGTTTTGCAATGCGCAAAGACGGTTCCACTTTAGTGGTGCAGGCGCTCTAATCCAGTAATGATGAAAGTCCCAAAAATGTCAATTGGGAAAACGAATTAAGCAGACAAGTCGTCTGCTGTTCCAGCATGACAAAAGCTCTCACGGTGATGCATCTCGCTTGCGTTTTCGGGGCGACAAAGAATTAGCGCTCTCAGTAGGGAGGTTCAAGTCCACCGAAGAAGTGGTCTGAGAAGCTTGGTGCCACTGATTGTCAGCAGCCAAACGATCCGAAATCCAGCGAGAGGTGGCGGGAAACCAAGATTTCCACCACGTTTCATTGCCATTGGGTCCTTGATTTTTCACCCAATAAAATCGCCACGAAACAGTCGGAGAACGCGATCGGGATCGATCCGACATGGCGTGTACCGCTGAAAGCCGAACGCTGGAACTGAACAAAGCAATTTAAAAAACCTAAGCGGACGCATCGCATGCAAGACTCTTCTGCATATACATTCTGTATTGCAACAGTCTTTTTTCATGCATGAAAGACTCCATGTATCTTAAGCCTCTCTCTGTACATCGGAGACCGGTAAAGCTTCGGTGCTTCGTACAGAGTACTCCAAGCCAGGCCAGCTGACTCCCCAATCCTGTCCTTCCCCCGTTTCAAAAGTAATCGGCCGGGGATTGTTGGGGGTGGACATCGGCAACGTAACGGAATGGGTGCTTGACAAAATCCAAATTTTGTCAATGCGTCCTGCGGCTTCACGCACCGCCCAGCGCTTATCTCCTGAAGGGGAGTGTACAAGCGGGTGGAACTTGCACAAATGTCCTTCATGTACAGTGCTGGAGGACTTGGATTTGTGATGCGCAGATCCAAGATATCCTCCCACGACCACTCCTGCGGAATTCTTCGTGGAGTGGTGCAGTTTTGACACGAAGTCTAACTTGCTCTCTTCATAGTACACGTGTTGTGTGGCTTTGCCATAAAAGGAGCACACATGATCGTGCGGCGCCACATGTACAGCTTCGGCGCTAGAGCGAATGACCCTGCCCAACGTGAGGATGCCGACCAGGCCTTCGGCCGTGGTCCCGTGTCCCCAAAGATAATAGCAGTTGGTCTGCTCTTCAGGTCCTGGCATATGTGCCACTGGAAACTCCCAAACATGCAATGCTTCTTGGGGCATGGCATACGCCTTGGCATCATGCTGAAAAATTGTCTTATATGGTATCTTGCTGGCCAAAATGGACCGGGCAAGAGTGACAATCTCCCGTTGGCCAATAGGAATCACAGGCAGAAAAGGTCGGTCTGCCTGGCCAAATCGGGTCAACAAAAATTTCAGCACATCCTCAACATCCTCTTTGAGGATTTTTGAGACTGGCAATGAACGTTGCCGAGTAAAAGTGATGCGATCAGTGAATCGTCGCATATGAGAATGTGGGATAATAGGCCACGTATGCAAGCCTTCGGTTGTGAGAAAGTTCTCATGATAATGCAAAACGAAGAACATATACGCCAAGAGAGAACTCATTCCCTCCTCATAGAAATCGACAGCATTGCGGCCTTTGGCTCGAGCTGTGATTTGCTCTCGCAGTTGTTCATAGCTGCTGCGATGAGCAGCATGAAATAGCTGTTCCTCATCAACAGAAATCAAACCGGATTGAGCAGGAGGAACTGGGCTCTTTGGAGCCGAATTCTTGGGAGGTGTCTTGGGCGACGTGTTCTTGTGAAACTCCGGTGAGGGAGCTGCCGCAACAGGCTCCTTGTTATTCAAAATCGGGCCTGTCTCCGGTTTGCTTTGTGCATTGCCGGGAGCTCCAAAAGCTTGAGCAGCCCGATGTAATGTATCAGTAGCTGCTTGAGAATGTGAAGCAGGAGCTCGAACTCTGGGTGTTACTGGCCTTTGGCTCAGAGTCCCAGCAGGAACACTAGGTACCCATTGCCCCGGCGGTCGCTGTGGACTATTGCTGGGCCCTTTGTTTTCATGATCTATTGAGCCGCTCAATAGATCTCGGTCTAGGCCGGGGTGGCATGTTTTCTAAGCTGGCAGAACGAAAAGGTGGGCGCATCGGAGGAACTGCACTGACCGACCTTGTTGGTGGTCGAGTGGGAGGCTGAGGGGGAGGCAGAACTGGTCGAACTGGGGCCGCGGGAGGTCCCTCAGGTTGACGTTCATGCCGATGGTGTCGACGCCGTCGTCGTCTCGAGCGACTGCGATCATGACGCTCACGGCTGGGGTGAGTAGACCTGGCCGGCTCACCCGGTGTGAGTTGAATTGGAAGCGGAGCTCGAGGTGGTGGGTGTACCGAAACCGACCGAGCTCTGCTAGCTTCCTGAGGAGTCGAAAGAATTGTAACCGGAGGTTGTGGTCCGCTTGAAGTCTGCACTCCAGGGGGTCCTCCGTAGAAGTGAAAATGGTATTGCTGGGCCATGGCTCGGGGTTGAAATATTCCTTCAACAGGCCGATACCCAGCTGAAAACCAATGCAGCTATGGTACTGAATCAGTAGCTCACGTGCACAATTAGGAACAAAAACATTGCAAAGAGGCAGCGGAACTCTCAATCGAATGACTTGTTTGTTGACTTCATTGCAACGCATTCACAGGAAAACCTGCCTGTACATACAGTTGCTTGAGTCTGCGAAGTTGTCCCGGTCTTGACTCGGGGGGCCAGGAATACTGGCGAATCAAAGATGCTCGATAAAAGTATCCCGAGGCTGCCAGCTGCCACGATCCAGCGCTGTTGGGCGAGCGGATCTGCCACGGTTGCTCCGGGAGATTAAAAGTTGCTGAGCGAGTCTTGGCACAAATGGTAAAACCCAACCATTGATGGTCTGACACAGTTTCCAACTGAATCCCATCATAAAAGTTGGGATCGCAGAATCTCCGGAGTTGGGACGACAATAGAATTTTCTGAGGCTTCTGGGCGGCTCCTCTGCGAACTTCTACGGCGGAACCTGCCACAGCTATGGCCACCTGCTCGAACGGGCTGGAAGTCTCCCTGGCTTTTTGGTAGCATGCCAGCTCCCTCCTTGACGGCATGAAGTGGCTGTTGAGCACCGGAACTGCTTCACATCACTGCGGTCTCACGTGCGGACTCTCTGAGCCGGTTGCCAAGGTTCTGTTATCGACGTAACGGAGAAACAAGAAAGACGATTGGATGGCTGTCGGCAAAGATTGCAAAAACTGCCGCTCGGCCAGGAGTACAGGAAGTCCGGAGAGGATCGGCGATATTTGATTGCCTATACACGTCCCCTCCACTTGCTGCCTGCACTTTCCAGCAGCTGTAAAAACGCCCGTGGCGAAGGATAGATCCACAATCAGCGGAACATCAGAAACCCAACACCTCTTCAAGTTTGATTTTGTTCTCCCCCGAGGTTTGCCCGGGTGTCCCGTTTTTGACAACATATCGATCGAAAGGATCGAACAGCCAGAAGTTTGGCAGTATTCCTGGACAATCAAATGCACTGCGTGCATGATGTCTTTTCGGGGAACTGCATTGAAAAATCCCACGAGATCGTCGTTCCATTCGACGTCTTCCTCTTGACTGGGCTTCGCCCAATAAGCATGAAGAGACTTCCAGAGCTGTGGCATGCTCTGCATGCCTGGGCTGTCAGCAAACAGCGTCTTGACCATTAAAGTTAACGCAATGGAAGTCAGCTCCAACAGCTTGCTGCACAACGAATTGGAATACGAAATGATAGTCCGTCCCTTGGCAAACTGTTTTTTCCGTTTCAGGAACACAGTGCCCTGGGGCAGCGGAGCTGTTTCTTTGAAGGCCCAGGCGTATCTTCTGGACAGATCTCGAGGAACGCGCTTCAAAATGCGCTGTCTCCATTCTTCAGGGGTACCATCAAGAGTACGAAACACAGAAGGATCGTTCCATGTGGTGCTAACTCCTCGAAGGAAGAAGCGAGGACAATAGCACACGACATGATTCGGATGATGATCTTCGTTGTACAGAACAAAACCCGAGTGCAAGGCAGACTTCACCTTCTGTACCAAAGCCCAGTGTAGTCTGTCTGATTGTTCCAGGGCTGCAACGTGTTGCTGCCACTGGTGATCGCAAAAGGATTGAAAAATTGGATGCAACGTCGCTGGTAGCTTGTGTCTTTTGAGCCACTGATCAAACAGAGCTCTGGACTTGGCCATCCAGTGATTGCGGCCTGGGAAAAAGGTGCTCGCGGCACTGGCCGATAAGATGCTCGAACAGCCTGGTAGTAGCTTGGTCAGGTTCTCCAAACCTGTGGCTACGTGGCCAGACACGAAGCAATGAGCAGGAAGTTTTCCTGCAAACTGCTCACACGGACAGTGCACCGACTCCAAATCAAAGTCGTGCTCCCACATCGTTTCTTCCCAAGATCGGAAGTTGTGGAGAAATTTCTTGATACTCTGGTGCGGAACTTCACGTAGGCTGTTCTTTGGAACATGAAAAGATGGAAAAAGATACTTGTACCGGAGGATGAGGTCTTTTAACCACTTCTCGCACTCCTTGGAAAACGAAGGAGACGCAGTTGGCAGGACTCCCAAAGGTCGGGAAGTCCGTGGCCAGTGCATCTTCTTGCGAAACTTGACTACACCTTTGAGTATTCCTTGCACCCTGTTGCGATGAGGGTTTTCGATATTGCGACTGAGCTTGATGAGGGCATACACTTCCTCGTCAGCCGTCTTATTGGATCGGAGCAGCTTCGCTGTTTCAAAGGATGCTCGGGTTCTCGATGCCAACTTGAACAGCAGCCCCCAGGCTAACTCCCGAGAATCATGAATGAAGAATTTCGAACTGCGACCAAACATGCGCTTTCGCAGTTTGCGCCAGAGTCGGAGTCCAAAGGTGCAATACAATGACCCTCTGCGTTTGGACGAAATCCGGAAACCAAGAGCGGTCTTCTTAATGAGAGACATTGCTCTGGGATAATTCAAAGGTGCCTGCCATTGAGCAATGAGTTCGTGCTCAACAGTCCAAGCTCGCTGGTAACTGTCACAAAATTCCAGCGGAACAAGGACAAACTGGAAAAGGTTGTGTTGGGATGCCCAATATCTCAGGGACAATTCTGCATCCACAAATTCGGTTCTTTGAAGTCTTCTGTAGACTGCCATGCGGTTCAAATGCCGCTTGGCTGCACCGACAGCAGTGCTTCCCACATACAAAAGTGATGAGGGCTGACGGTAGCCCGAACGAAATCGACCCATGTCGAAATCAACTTGAAAAATGCAATATACAGTGTTCGGCTTCTCAAACAGAGAATAGTGCAGAGTATCTGGATCCACTCCGAACTGCTGCAATCTCCGAACAATCTTGAATCTGTGCGAATCATTTTGGCTGGGTGCATTGAGGTAAAACAACAACACCAACGACATCAATGTGTGCACCCAAATCAGCGGAGCCTTGGGTATTCCATCGCCAAACTCCAACATGAAGGCTGCTGCTGTACCAAGCGTGCACACTGCTGAAGCAAGCCTCTTACGGACCTGAATCGGCTGGTGTTGCACCGTTTTTGCTTGGGTAGCTAGTCAAGCTGATTCAAACTGACATGCACCAATGAACGAAGACAAATTGGTGAATGACATCTTGCCGGCATGGCTTTTCTTCAAGCCGTACTTGATAGCAAGATCTGCCAGGCTTTGTCGATCAGTAGCTGAATCTTTCAGCACAGAGCAAACATCAGCCACATGTTTCTTAAAGGCTGCAGCTTGACCACGAAACTGGCTCTGATGCTTCTTGAGCCATTTCTCAACAACATCAGGAGAGCTGGAACTCGGAACAGAGTTCGGCGGATTCTGGAGTTCCGCATTCAAATCTGCTCAGCTGACGGTGATGGTAAAGCGGTGGGCTTTGGGCCAGTTTTGGCCTGCTTCTTCTCTGGAGTAAGAGCAATCCCAGCTTCCTTCAACTTTCGCTTCGCACGAGCAAGCTGCTCACTCTCAGGCGATGGCTGGTTTGAATCCGCCGAAGGGGGCGAATTGGCTTTGATTGTTGAAACAATTTCGCCGAGCAATGGTTGCATAAATCTCGCAGACTCCCTGTGCTTATCAGGCGGAGCTGGGCCGTGCATATTTGCAGCCACGGCATCGAGATCGATACGGTCTTGCCGGATGTGACGAAGCAGGTTAGTCACAAACACTGCTTCTGAAATCGACCTCACGAACACTAAGCTTTGAAATTCTCCATTGGACAAACAGCGGAGACTGAAGTCATCAAGACCTTTTCTCGTCAGGTCTGAAACACGAAGATCGGCGACATCTTTTCCAGCCAGTCCAGCTTTCGTAGACCAGGGCGTGGATTGGATGTTACGAAAGAACTTCTTGCCAGAAATAGCATTCTTGTCGTAACACTCCCAGTCACTGGTAAAAGACGATGGCATGGCAACATTGGTGCTGGGAACAGACTGTTGAGGAGATTTTTGCCAGTCACGGTTGTTCCAACCCGACGATCCTTTCTTCTCCCAAGACGAACTAGCCCAGGACGACTTGGCCCAATCTTGTTCACGGGTCCACGACATGATCGCAAGAGATTGCTAAAGGCTTGTGTCTCGGAGCTGAAATCGTGGTCTGCGGATAGAAAAGCCGTTGGTTCCATCGGATCTGCAAAAATTCAGGACCTGCAATGAAACCTGGCATCAAACCTGACATTAAGTCAGGAGCGGAGAAAACATCACGACTGAGGTAATCAGATGTCTGCACCATCGGAGCAGCAAATTCAGTCGAATCTGTGAGGACCACGACGGGCCCAAATCAATGTATCCCTGCCTTTATCAGATCCACCCTGGCAGGTACTCGCACGGGCTAACCCCGCCGCAGGTAGCGCGGTAAACGATTACAAGACCAGCTTGTAACTACCTGGGACACACTTAGACATCCATCGCGCAGCCACTAATCAATCTGGTTATCAAGCACAGCTTGATGTATCTCGAAAGCATGAAGCTTCCAGGGGGTCCGGTACCTATCTGGCCTCAAGGCTCATCTTCGCTTGATCTCTGACTTATTCACTGTACAAGGCAAACTCCTCCAAACCTGCACATTCGATTCTATTGGGGTTTTAGGCTTAGCCCCGAGCCATATCACTTGCAACGACACTTGCAGAAACACTTGCAGGTACACCAAGCTGATCAGGCTTGGCTTCCCTCTCTGATGCATAGCTTCGTTGGGTACGGTAGCATCAGAGAGCCGTACCCCCCTGCTATTTTCAGCAATTCAGCACTACTGTCCAACGTGTTTCAAAAACGGTTCCTCTTGGTAACAGAGGTCCACACACACACACACACACACACACACACACACACACACACACACACACACACACACACACACACACACACACACACACACACACACACACACACACACACACACACACACACACACACACACACACACACACACCACACACACACACACACACACACACACACACACACACACACACACACACACACACACACACACACCACACACACACACACACACACACACACACACACACACACACACACACACACACACACAACACACACACACACAAACACACACACAAAACACACACACACACAAAAACACACACACACACACACACAAACACACACACACACACACAACACACAAACACACACAAAACACACACACACACAAAACACACAACACACACACACACACACAAACACACACAAACACACACACACAAAAACACACACAAACACACACACAACACACACACACACACACACACACACACACACACACACACACACACACACACACACAACACACACACACACACACACACACACACACACACACACACACACACACACACACACACACACACACACACACACACACACACACACACACACACACACACACACACACACACACACACACACACACACACACACACACACACACACACACACACACACACACACACACACACACACACACACACACACACACACACAACACACACACACACACACACACACACACACACACACACACACACACACACACACACACACACACCACACACACCACACACACACACACACACACACACACACACACACACACACACACACACACACACACACACACACACACACACACACACACACACACACACACACACACACACACACACACACACACACATACATCCACCCCCGCCCGGGTGGAAAGAGTTACTTCGGACCTGTTTATGGCCTGGCAAGTACATGTTGCACCAACTGCAAAAGGAATCAGATTTAAGATACTGCAATCAGGCTGATTGAAAACGGTGCGCATCGGTTTCCTGACCGAAGCTTTCGGACTGACCTGTGTTTGAACCGAGGCGGTTGATGCATCTCCGTCCTTGGCACATCCATCTGTGGATTTTTGTCTCGTCTTACGGTCGAACGGAGACAAGACTCAGTCTGGTTCGAAAAAGGTAGCCTCAGAATCAGATGTCCTTGTCGAAAGCGGTCTGTCTTCAAACTCACTGGAGAGATCTGCCGAACCTGGAATTGAAGTCTCATCTGCATCAGAGCTGGTCAACTCCATGTTGTTTATATGTCTAGCTGCAGTTGGAACTGAAGTTCAAGCAGACCTGTCAGCTATTCAAAGACAGGACAGAGAGTGAAGGAGACAACCGCAGAGTGCAACGCATCGCTTCAACTGCCTCATGGACTGCCAGTTCGCATTGATGTTCCGACGTCCTCAAGAAGTCGCAAACTGTAGTGTTACAAGGTCTCGCGATCTACCAGAGATGAACTTGCCACACGCATGCGACGTTCTCTGGAATGTCGCTATCCCTGTGATCTGGGGCGGTGCGGACGAAGTGCACTGGATCCAATGTCGTCAGCGATGGAATCGGTTCTGTGAATGGTATGTGTCTGCCATTTTGGTGTAAATTGAAAGCACCTCAGCTGAAGCCTGCGGCCGGTGATTTCTTCGATTCTATTTTGGAGGTTCTTCTTAACCCCAGCTAGTGTCAGAACTGTGACAGATGAGGTGTAGGGTCATTGGTATAACACAGTGGGATGCTCGAGGATTGGCCATTACCTGCAATAAGGATTGTCTGACTGAATCATTGATTCGTCTAGGGCCTGTTGCGCTGCAAACACAGCAAGGAGAGGGAGAGAGAGAGAGAGAGAGAGAGAGAGAGAGAGAGAGAGAGAGAGAGAGAGAGAGAGAGAGAGAGAAACTCGAAGAGAACATGTTATTGTCCTGTGCGTCTGAAACTTCGAAGCAAACATGGCTGTTTTTCACACCTGCAATCGCTTGGCGCACGGCTGCAAGTCCTGCAAGCTGAAACCTCGATGTCGGTAGAGTGCAATTAAGGCCTCCACCTGTGGTCGCACTAATCGAAGCGGTCTGGTATGTCGGTTGATACTCAACAATCTGGCTGTAAAACCAGACAAGGCTGCTGTGTTGGATCCTGCTGACCGTAAGGACCTCAAAGTGGTAACATTCGCTGGTTGTTGCATCGTGATCGTGCCCTGTACCGTCGAGGTCACAGAACCAAAAAGTTCTTCTCGTGGTATGGTTTCCACCTCAGTGTAAAAGTCTAATTGCGACGCAAGGTCGGCCCAGTCAGTCCTAGTTTCTGACATGCGCAAGAAGAAGCATCGGTTGTCTGCATAACGAAAGGATCGAAGGAGTCTTGCTGCTCGGAGTTCGCTTTGGAAACTGCGAATCAGTAAATATTCCTGTTCCGCTGCTACCAGCACAAGCAGAACTGGTGCTAAAATTAGGCCCATGCTGGCTTCCAGAACCTGCTGAAGAGTACCCTGGCCGACCTTGAAGTAAGCAGACTTCAACAAGAACCATGTCATTTCTATGACATGCCGGACATGTAGAATTTACGTCGTTGAACTCCGAAAACGCTATCGGCCTTTGAAGACCCTGAGGTCCTTAGTGCCCGCTTACCAATCCACCTGCAAAGCTAAGCGACCTGCGGTCTGACCGAAACGTCCTTGAAGCTTCCAAATCAATAGTTGTAGGGGTGCACACGCGCGCGAATGAGGCACCGAGTCAAAAACCCGACAATATCTACCTGTTCTTCATCTCCAGGATCCAAGTGCTGTATGTGCCTCCAAGCCTGTCTCAACGCACTGGTGGCCGAGTAATGTTCACGTGGTGCCTTCAGGAAAACTGACCTGCATCAAAGAGAACAAGGCCGTGGCAAGAAACAGGCTCGCCTTTGTACGCCAACATTTCGTGCAAGCGATGATCGGTCTAGCTGATCCTTTAGGTAGGATCCTGGAATTCGAAAACCTCAGTTCCAATCAAAAGACCATCTGTAAGGCTGCAACTCTGAATCTGAAAAGTCACTATCCTCTTGCAAATGCCTGAGAAGGCGGCTGTGCCGTCCTTGCAAGATAGAAACACTGTCTTATCACGGAACGTATTCACCAACAGTAGGTGGTAATGAACGGGAC